GCTTAAAAAGGTGAAGATAAATGTGTGGCCACATGAACGACCACGCATGATTTGAGGAATTGATGCTGCTACACGCCTTATTTTAAAGTACAGCTGTCAGCATTGCACACGAAGTACACATTTCGCTTTGACCACTGTGCTGACTTCTCTATCAAGTCAATGTTGTTACAATCGTTGCAACATGTCAATCGTTCATTGCTAACGCCTGGAATCTTTCAAGTAGCGCCATACATTTTACAGTATTGTCTGCTTCGCGCAAATGGCGGCTTGCGTATGTGTTTTAGTCACTAACGCTTAGGTAACGTTTTGTTTAGGTAAAAAATGCATTTCCGACCTCCGTTAGGACGGAACTCACTTTAATGTAGGTTGCAAGGACATCGTGATACAGAATTGACGAAGCTCCCACAATGCTGAACATGCAAGACGTCACAAGGAGGAGGAGAATAATAATAAACATGACCCAGAGGCCACTTTTGTCTAGCAGATGTATCGGAGTTGAAAACAGCACAAGACCTAAGTAAAGAAAAATAAGTGCAATTTCCTAAGGAATGTTACGGTGTAGTTTCTCCTGTCATTTACCTAGCTAAATGGAAGCCTTTTGTATGGGTTTACACCGCCCAAGTATTGCTCTGTTATCACCCAAATTATAAAAACTCGACGACCTTAACGACTAAGTGATGTGATCGAAGCAACATACAAGCAGCAAAATTCCACCCAAAGACATCATTTCGCCACATGGACTGTAAACTACCTTGAAGAATCAACTATTTCTTTCTCACTGACCCTTGTTAGTTTAAACAAAATAAAGAGGTAATAAAATACTTTAATAAGTGCATTGAACAACTTAGCTAAGATGTAGATGCATTTTAGCAATCCAAAGTAGAATAAAATAAATTCCACTCAAATTTTCGAATCCTTAGCAAAAATGCTGTCGCCTTTTTGATTCGCTTTGGATGGCAGACAACATTTGGTAGTTATGGTTACACATAATTGTTACTTACGCCCCTGTTTCATCGTATAAGATAGTCCCGATCAACGGACTCGATAGAATGAATGCCTACCCGATGCTTTTTGCGTTTCGTTAAGTAGAGCCGCATTGAAAAAGGCCGATTCCAGGGCCTGGAAACCCAAACCACAGACAACACCAAGTGCAGTAGGGATACAAAAGGCCATGCTGGTGGCCAATAGAAGACCAAGTACGCCATGATTTGGCGGTAAGTTGATCGCAGTCTCCCACAAGGCCGGATCAAGTAGCACTTGGACTGCATGACCTGGCAAAAGAAATTAACGCCACTTGCTGTCACAATCTAATCTCACATGGACGCCGATCAGGTGGCAGCGCAGAGGCGTTGAACTTACGAATTATATTGATGAGGCCATCAGTTACAATTCTCCCGTCGATTTGACGAATGAAAGTGTTCCCAACTTCATTACTCGACTTATGGCACATTAATAACTTATAAATGCTCTCCACGCTGCCTACAACAAATCCCAAAATGAAGGCTCAGTTACTATTCTCTCCATAAAAGCTGTTGAATAGGGCAACACTTTGACTATTTATAAGTTAACAATTTTACAGAGTAAAGTAAATCGTGATTTTTTTTATTCATGGTGGGCAACTCTCATTGAAACACGGCAAGCTGATTTGCAACACAGCTGAATCTTATCTCTAGCCTCTATACCCAAGAGATTTGTTAAGTCGTCATCATAAATTGGATTAGCATTAGATAGTCTGTCTTCCTACGCAGTTAGCCTCATCATCCTT